CATCTGTGTTTAACGAAGCAAACGTCTTGGCAAGTATCGTCGGTAAAGAAGGAAATAATGCAGCTGCAATTTTACGATTGCAATAAGGTTTTTGCACTTCCGTAACCACTTTGGTTCCCAAACGTCATCTACACACCCACTTGGGGGTCACTTAAGGGGTGTAAAGCAATCGACTTACCTTGCGTCGCCAGCTCTGCGGCGCAAAAGAAAAGAAGAAAATTCACGATTAGACTGGGCGACTACAGTTTTATTTATACTTACATATTTCATATTTATATTCTTTGACAAAAAGTTACGTACGTCTAGATAAAAGAGCCATTATCTCGGAAACGGTGACGGATCCGGCAAAATGTCAGAGGACTATTTCGATACCTCTTGATCAAACCCACGAAGAAAATCCTACGCATCGAAGCCGTATCACTGTTATCGAGAAAACAGTGTCGACGTCTAAACCCGTGCGTAACTTTTTTTCGTCAAAAAGAGAATTAAGTATACATTCGATTATACTTTACGTTTTGTACGACTCTGTCTGCCTAACAATGTAAATTTGCCTAAGTAATATAAAAATTGTCTAAATATTTTTTACGATATATTCTGGCATGCCTCTCAAGTGTAAAAGTTACCTTCTTACGCTTCTTTCGCTCTTCAAGAAGTCAAAATATATTTCTAACAGTTCGCGAAAGGCAGAATGTAAAATTGAACGGATCGTCCAAACCATACCTTCTAATTTTATCGGCTATGAAGAATGAGAAAATTATGGAGAGATAAATTAAAGAAGACCACGAATAAAAAAGAAGAAATAAAGAACTGCAGATGCAAATGATCGTTTCTCACAATTTAAATTTACATCTGGAATTTCTATATAATCTTCCTCCTATGCTACTATTCAGGCGGGCGCCATTCAGAGGGGCAAACACTAGTCGTCTTTATACGATCGCGTAACTCGGTTACTCGGTTCGCGCCTTCAGCTCGGCTTTTTGCGATCGTTCAAAAAGAAACGCGCACAATCTCTCTCGTCGGTATAAATGTATGCCTGATGGGGCGACACGGCAGTACAGCGCGACTGATGAAAAGAAATATTCATGAGCGAATACAAGAAGCAGCGTTCCGAGAGTCGCACGAGCGTCCCGAGATTCATCGATATCACGCGTGCTAGGATACGGACAATCGACGTCAATTGCAGCATCTTCATTCGTGCGCGTTCGTAAATAACGATAAAAAAACTCAAGTCTATATTTACAGTTATTACATAAACTTTGTATCATAAAAGAGCATCAGGCAAGATTTCTCAATTTGAAATCCGTCTGACAATATTTCGAAATTTATTTTATCTTTGATAAATCGTTAAATATTTTATTGAGGTCCAGTTTGACATAGTAATATAAATTACTATTAATGTTGCTGACATTATTTGCGTTAATTGGTAGTATTTCAAAATTGCATATAGATGTAATGTATGTATATATAAATTTCTTTAATAAAGTCTTTAATAAAGAATTTTAATTTCCAAGGAAATTTCGTAAAATTTCCTGCCTTTTCTCTAATTTCCTTGACACTTTTAAATTTCCCTAACAATTCTCTGATATTTCGCTAATCTCCAGGCCTTCTATGGCAACTCTGATATTATTAATAATAAATTTTAGTTGTTACAAATTAAATGTGAATTATTTAATTCTTGTTTTTTTACGACAAACTGATCAATTATTCAATTTTAAAATACTGAATATGCAATTGAATATATAATAATAAATATAAAAATAATTTTAATAAATATAAAATTTCCTTTATGTTGAATAACTTTGATTTAAAAAAAAATTAAAATCTATTAAAAAATTTATTAAACAAATTTCTGACATAAGTAAGTCGCGTAGTTTCCTTGAGTCTCCAGAAAAGTGTCGTAAGATTAAAAATTTATTAACATAATAAATTTATACACATACGAACACCTCTTAAAAATCAATTATTAAACCACAAGAAACAAATCTCAGATTGTGTCGAGACAAATTTCCGAGTTATTAAAATCAATTAAATCGCAATTATAAATATGATGTAACAAATATTAAATTGACTTCCAAGACATCTTCATTAAGCTGTATCACGTCAGTTAATTCCAGTTAAATTCTTCAACAGAAGCAATTATAGATATGAACGTAAGTAAATTGCTGGGTGATTAAGATACGAATGTAAAAATCGAAACTTACGAATACAAAACGGCGAGGATAATTCCTAGACTTCCATGAAATCGGAAAATTATACCTCTTGTACTAAATGATAACACTTGCGAGGTGTCCCTGTCCTTCTAGATTGAGCGGATTTCGTGCCGTGCGGAACTCTCGACCAGTGCAAGAGGCAAATCGGCGCGCCGTCCTCGCTTTCGCTTTTCTTTGGCAATGCACGTGATTCCATACGAGCTATATGTACATTCGTTACCGGCACCTACCACAACGTTACATACGAGACATACGAGTTCTAAAAATAGCACACAACGCACCGACGAGATGTGACCTATCGCGGTATGCGCGACACTTGATTAACGCGCACGCTAATCACATTTCATCGTGTCGCTTGAACATCTTACGTTACGAAATCAATGGAACGTCCATCGCTGTTGGAATTCAATATCTCAAACCGTGATCAAAGAGACGAGAGACGTCGAGAGATATTTTTGCAGTATCAAAAGTATCAGAAGCTGCAAAGCGGAAGGCTCGACATGTATAAATAATCACGTTAGAATCGGGAAATCATCAAAGTTCATTGACATTTTAATAGTCAACCTGTCAAGTTTTATGACACAGGCCACTGGCCGGTGAGATACGAAGTGCAACGGACCGAGAAATGCGGTGCAAAACGCCTTCACGAAGAATTTGCTTCACTATATAGCAGGCATCGGCGCGTCTCGGCGCGACAACGCAAATTGGGCGGAAGGAAGGTTCCATTACGAAACGACGCGTCACTTCGACGGGATGACAGCTAAAAAGAAAATGCCAAAATCGACAGTTGATCTTACAGGATGTTTACTGAAATCTTGTAAAAAAAATTCCCTGAGAATTCCCGAATTTCCCAGATATTTTTGTTACTTTTTAAAAATTTTCCAGGTAAGATTAGAGAATTTTTTAAAGCAACTTTAAAATTTATTGGAGTGCAAGCAAAGCAAAACAAAACTATATATTAAAGTAAAAAAAAAATCCCTTGAAAATTTTAGATTTTTTCCTTGTTTTTTCAGGTAGTAAAAGAAAATATCTTGTCTTACAAATTATCCTGCGTCCTATAATTAAAAAAATACACCTTGCAATGAAAATCCGTTGTAACGCTCGTCGAAAGAGACAGCTCTAGACGCAACTTTCAACGTTTCCTGTCCAACATTCCGCCGCGTGTTGCAAATTGCAACGCGAAATAATAATACCAAGACGGTGAAAACGTCAAAGAAAAAGCTCGCTTAATTCCCTGTTCAATTCCGCAGTAAGTGACCGAGTAGCCATTTCTAACACTACGAAAGTACTGCCGCGCCCAGTAGAATCAATGTATTCCGTTAGTTCAACGGTACGTGTATGAGTACACAAATGCAAAATACTTTCGACATGACGCCAGCCATGTCGCGACACCGCTTAAATGCAGTCGATTTAAAAAGACTAAAATGAATATTCCTAACTAATACCGCACGAGTATTAAAACCATAATGACAAAAATAATTTACAGACTATTTTAAAGAAAAGATGAATTTTGCTCAATTTTGAAAAAATGTTCTACTATGTTCAAACTGTTTCTCTACACGAAAAAAAACGCTTTTTCCTGAAATCTCAATACAAAAAACAATTTTCCTAAAGTATCTAAAAATTTAAATAGATAGAAATCTGAAAATATAATTTTGTTGAACTATCAAAATAATTATGTAGGAACAATTTTTTAGATAGTTCAGCAAAATCATTCTTTTCATATAGAAATTTAGTTTGATATAAATATTTTACTATCAAAATGATTATGTAGGATACTTATGATGAGCAATATTATAGATAATTTTAACATTTTAGCAATCAACTTGAGCATCTTACATAATTGTTCTATAGTCTAACAAAATTATTTTCAGATCTAGCTAAATTTTTAAGTACTTCGTCCTTTTTGTGCGTCCAACATTTAATTCAATACACTTTTCATGTACATTCAAAAGTATTTCAGACTGTTTAAAAACACTTAAAATTTTTTGATGCTTCGATGGTAGAACTAAATTATGAGAAAGTGTATTTCTCGAACGTTCTGCACGTATTTCACTTTCTATCGAGTTTCATGGTTGACTGACGCATCGTGAAGTCCGATGGACACATTACAGCAAATTGCGATGGGCGGTTTTCATCATGCTGACATTGCAGCCGCTTCATTTGCATTATACAAGCGGTGCCGTAGATATTAAATACCAGAGAATAAGCTGGGAAGAAACTGGTGATTATTTTAACAAGGCAGTAATAACTTCGGAATTGATATTTTAAAAAATTTAGAAAATGTCAGAAATCAATTACCGACTCAGAGAAAATTAAACTTTAAACTTAGAAAAATGTAAAACTTGCCCTCCATCTAATTTCATGTTAACTGCAACAAAATCTAAATTCGTCGGAACATAATTATTAAAATATATAATAGGGGAAACTGAAAAAATGTGACATGCATGACAATGATGGTCTCTGTACTTCAATCTCCGTTATAGAAAAATGTCCGACTCCGAAAATGTCCGCAGTCGAAAAGAAGTACATGACTTCCGGGACTCCCTGAATACTAAACGGGCGTAAAATACAACATATACTTGCGAATTCGCGCGACGCGTAAATTTACGACCCTACTCGCACGTTACTGGTAATTTCGACATAAACGCGTAGGGTGGCCGTGCGTTATTCATAACTCCTGGTCGATTCGAAAGGCGAACCTCGCTCGTTTGGAGTTCATCGAATTATTGCGATCGTTAACTCGGAGAATCGCGTTTATCATCACGTTTCGCAAAATGAGCTACTTACCTGGAAGTGCAAGATAATAGTCCATATCAGGCCGAGTGTGAGCTTCGGGTTACCGTCCACGATGTCCTCCGCCCGGATGTTGACCAGCTTGATCTTCTTGTACCGTAAAAAATCGAGGGCCATCTGCACGTTCTGCAGCATGTGAAAGCGCATTCGGCCCCTCTCCCGCGGCTGGAAAATGCGATCGGTTTATCGTTAATTACATTCAATCGAGGACAATTATCGTTGCTTGATCCAATTGTCATATAGAGTTCAATTCTAGAACTCAATGACGAATACTCTGTTCCCGAGGAAGGAGCTAACTCGAACTTTTACGAAGCATTCACGCAAGAAACAAACCCGCGATAAAATTCGAGAATGAATTGAATTTATTTAATCTTTTAAAGCGAAAATACATGAGTTTGATTGTCATCTTCAATATCTTTTTTTCTTTGAATGGGTAGATAGTGGCCACAAGGAATAGTTCTTTTAAAAAAGAAAAATAAAAAATATTGTCAAAAACCCGGAAGTCTTAAAATTTAAGTCTTCTCAATTCGATAGAAGATTCAAAATAGCAACTTTCAAATAGTGCTATCTAGCAAAATCTGTTTATACGATGCTGTTCTCTGATAGTGCTTGGAGACTTTTGATCAGCATCTCATAAACTAAATATCACGGTTTCAACTAATTTGATTGAAATCACTTTTTCCATATCCTTTAACTAAAAATTATACTAATAATTAACTAAATTACTAGAAGTCCTTTGATTAAAAATTAATACGATAAAAAATATAACCATAAAATTAAAATTTTTAAAAGATATTTAAAAGAGCACCCCATCTACCAACTTGCGTATCTTTAGATCACTTTGAAGGTTAAGATAATAATGGAAAATAAGTGTAGAAATATCGCTCCGAGAGCATCGCGAAAAGTACTCACAAGGTGCTCGCCCGAGAGCACTTCCAGCAAGGAGATGAGATTGTGGCCGTCGCGTAGATCCTCGAACAGGTCCCCGACATGTCTGCTCGCCTGCAACAAATTCCAAAAGGGGCAAGTTAATTGCCGCTTTTCACATCGAGTCAAGCACATATCTGGCGGCGCAAAAAAAAATACATCAAAACGACTGACGTAAGAAAAAAACAGAGAACCAAGTAGGAAAATAAGAATGCGTAAGGGTATAGTCCATCGGCGATGTACTCAAGCGATTACCATGAATAGAAAATGAAAAAATCACAGGAATGTCGAGAGTTACATACACATAATGTAAATAGCGAAAGCGTGGGATATGAGTCAAATGTGCACAAATATCGTCAACATAATCATAGCCGCTGTTTGCGCATGACGTAATAAAGATATGCGACATTCGCGCGGATTATACTACTCGAAATTTTACACAATTCTGATGTATTCAAGCTGTAGTAATACTAGAAATCCCGTCTGTACCCTGTTAAATTCATAAACTGTCAAATTGTCAACTGTTTCTAACATAATACAGAAATCTGTAATTTTTTTCATCATGTTGTTTAAAAACACATGTATAATACACATGTATTGTTAAATAATTTGACTCAAGAGATGTATTAAATTTTAATTTATTATTTACTAAATGCATACGTTAATATGAACGTCGTTTATTTTAAAAGTAAGCAATTCAATCAGCAAAAAAAGGATTCATTTTATATTTTCATAGAATTGCATTTATATTTTAATAGAAGTAAAAAATAACAAAACGTTATCTAACAAGGGATTGAGTTATTCTTTTGAGGTTTAACAGCATACAGATCAAGGAAGAAGAAACAGCGATAAAATCATCGAGACGTCGGAAATCGTTTCCCGACTCCCAACATCCGAATCCGATTACGCGTACGAGTAAACGCATGCTGATTTACAGACCGGTTTTAAAAATACATATTAAGCTCGGCGCATTCGTTACCATATCGGTCGACCAATGGTCAACTCGAGCATGCACTGCGAATACGTCATCACGTGCAGGTGTTAGTCAGACAATGACGCGTTAATAACATGGAAGAACACTTGTTATAAAGGACAACTTTTGCAAGATCAAGCGACGAGTGTAATATATCGCATTCTTTGCATGTTTTACATGTAATAATTTTTTTAATTCGTAATATTGCGAGAGTTGACGATGTAAATGTGTGTAAATAAAACGATAAATCATGCATATCGTCGGGGCCGATAACGAATGAGAGCTATGAACTTACGGTGGGGGAACAGCATGGTTGGTTGTTCACAAGGACGCACACGTGTAGACACGTGTAAGTCTGAAAAAGATAGCGATGAGAACCGTCACCGTGGATTAGTAAAGAGAGTCTCGCTTGGACACGGGCGGATAATAATTTTTTTACTCGACTCGAAACTGATTTTTCGGGGTTCGAGCAGCTGGCGTGATCGAATATTAACCCTTCATTACTTGTAGAGTATCCAGGTTATCCAAACCTTATAAATTCGTTGTACTTTAATTTACAATGTCAAACTATACTCAATTAAAGATATTTTTAATCGTTTCCATAGGTCGCCATTGTTTTTATTCAACATGTCGTTAATTTAAAACAATAAAGTTAAATTGACTTTAAGAAAATTGACTCAAGAAAATGTATTAAATTTGATTGACAGTTTTAGTTTATTGTTCACTAAATATATACGTTAATATGGACGTTATTTATGGTAGAAATAATTGACTCACATTTTGACACACAAAAATTGACAATTAAAAATTAAAATTAACAAAATGTTATTTAACTCAAAGGATTGAGTTATCATTGCTTATTTGATATCTATGATACAGTGCAAATATATAAATATATATATACACAATATTATATTTGAAATATACTTAAAATACTTAAAAAGATACTTATTACTTCATATACTTAAAAAGAATTTCTTGTATTTATTTCCATCTAAAGCGAGTATAAAATATTACGAATATTTATTTAATTGTAAACCATTAAAGAGAACAAAATATGAACAAAAACTGTGATAAACTTGAGATAAAACAGAAACATTCCACGCAAGTAATTACATGTAAAACAAATCCATGAATAATGCAAGGTTAAAAAGAACGTTCCTTTCTTGTACCGGATATTTCTAGTTAAAAATATCTTCAGAATAAAATTAAGATATTTTGAACTTTTAAAAATATTTTCAGAGTTGACACAATCAATTTTCATTACAATTGTTCTCTCTACATATTCGTGTATATTTAAAAATAAAAATTATCCGCCCCTGCGCGCGAGCGTGTGCATTGCGTGCGTCGCACACGCGTGCACTCTTGCGTGCGTCGCGTGTCCTGCACAGCCAGGTGAGTAAATGTCAAGCGATTGACAGAACAGCGCGTGATCCGCCTCCCATCCGCCTTTCGTAATCGTGACTAATTGCAACAAGTCGCGTCTATGCGTCTCAAAGGATGATTTTGACGTGTTCCATTTTACGACATTGCGACACTCGTTCCTTTCTATTGCGTGTGAATAGGATTTAATAGCAGTATCGAAAAAGTCGACGATTATATCACACGCGTCGTAAAATATATAAGCATTGACATGATTCAATCGTAAACGTCGCAATACGTGCATCATAAAAACATTATAAAAATGATGATAAAGCGATGGCTTTAAAATTCCAAAGAAAAAAACCGGTGGAATCCAAACATTCATGGAAATCATTCAAATAAATATTCATTCATTATATAACACACATAAATTTAATTACCATATAATATATGACGTCAATTATTTATATTTATTATTATGCTTTATTAACTGCGACAAAAAAATAATTATTCTGAACGTAATTCGCAAATGTTTCCTATCTGCGTTGGACTAATTCGTTGATAACAATCTGTAACAATTGCGTTATTGTAATCTGAACGGTAATCTGTACTCTTTTCATTAAACCGCGTAATAACAAATTACGACGGACAACCGTTTGCCAACTGTTGGCAAACTCCGTTTATTTAGAAATAATAACTGACTTCGGCAATTTTAAGTTCCTAAGTATTTCCGCACAAACTTCTTTCATCTTAAGACGCGTAAAACACGCTCCCAGACTTTGCTAAATCTATATGAAGTCCATGTAATAAATCCGTAATGTATAAGATTTACATTCGATATATAAAATTAAGTAAAATCAAAGTCAATAAACAGCAAAAGATAAACAAAATTTAAAATAAATAATTAATTTTATTTAGAATAATCATGATGTAAAAGACTGTTTCAACTCTATTAACCTGTTTCAATAAAATAAATCGATTCAAACGCAAAATCAGATTAAAGTTACATGAATGACTAGAATTAATTATTAACAAAATCAGTTAAGCAATAAAAATCAAAATGAAATTTTTAAAAAAGGTAAGAATATACACGAAATACATGAAGAGAGCTATTACAGTCGCCACCTTTATATACAGAAAATATCTTCTTAAAATTAGCTCCCGTAAATAGACCGGTAATTAGTGTTCATTGCTTTGCACAATATGATTGATTGTGAGCGTCTCATCGCATTCACTGTGATTAGTCACTTCGTGCGGCAAGATAGTCGAAATTCTTTGCATTCTAAAGTCACGAGTGAAGGGTCGGATATGCGGTAAAGGGCAGAACGAGAACATTACTTCTGGTATGTCTTGTTCTGTCGCGTGACGCGACTCCGTAATTCCTGACGTGCCGTTTCGGCATGAATGCCACTTTGTCATAGAGGCATTAGAAGCACGGGAGAATAAGAATAACAGATGGGACACGTAACGGTACGATGAATGTTTTTAAGACGGTAATGAAAGTAATTATACCGGCCGTTGCAAACTACGTTCGTAATTTATATGTGCGTTAAGAAAAAGTCTTTTGGAAGAATGCGCGAGTCGTTGGTGGGTAATAACCGCATATGAAGACTGATAACACATCGTTGCTGTTATTATTACGGTAACAATCCTCCATCATTTGAAATTGGTTGCTTAAAAGAAAATAATTAATGTCACTCACGTAACTTATTCTAGGTCTTCGGTATCACTCTCAATGTGGCATACCCGAAAAGTTTCTTTTTAGATAACTGTAACTGAGTAATAATCACCCGATTTGTTCTTAACATAAACGATCATTGTGTTTTTTATATCTCAATTAAAATTACTATTAATACATATACAACATATTACTGATTGTTTTCCTATTTATTAGTATTTGAGAACATCATAGATATAAATTTAATCAATTTCTTGAAAAAACTAAGTAGAAATCAAACAACTATTAAACGGAATAAGCAGGTCAAATATTTATTTTGACAATATTTCTAAAAAAAATTAAAATTTTAATTAAAATAACGCTCTTTTTATTGCGGTTTTTTAATGGAATTGTATATTTAAAGGTTCGTGAGAATAATTATTAAAAAAGAAAGAAAATATGCTAAATTATTTGTTATAATATTAATGTGTAATTAATAAAACGATATAGAGTGGCACCAAAGGCTAGATCTAAACGACGTGCTTTATGAAAATTTTGAGTCAATATCGCGATGCACTGATAGATGATATCATCATTTTCCTATATCCTAAAAGGAGTTATACATACCTTGACGTATTTCCAGTGCTGCAGGAAACACAAAAAAAAGCAAGAAATCGATGTAATTGCAGTAACGATTTACATATAATTGGTTCAATAGTGTGGGAGGATACGGTGCGTTAAATACAGCGATTCACTCTTGGTCTTATCATTAAACATCGACGGTAACATGTGATTATCGTAATTATCTTAATAAGAATGTGGATCGTGCATTCATTTAAATAACGTTTTTCAAATAATATATTTTACGCAGATATTATTTATTAGCTTCGTTATTACGTTATTTCGTTGAGCTACATTCACTATTCTGGCCTTGGTTTGCGTAGATCGTCCACTTCCGGTATACGTGATTCTGCGAATGTAATACAAAGTCCTACAACACGAAGCAACAAAATTGCTATCTACGAAGAACGATTCGCACATCTTGTTGTATTTTGACAAGAATACGGTAAAGAACAGTTAAAGACATTATTTCTCGAGAAAATAGTCTTTCTATAATATAAATTTTTCGGAAGAAATATATATAAAGCATACATTCGACAATTCACAAAAATACGAGTTTATACAAATTATTAACTAGAAAGAAAAATTATCGGCTAAATAATACAATTATATAATACACTTGTATAAGATTGATCCTTTTATATTTATTCATCAACTATAAATATAGAATACTTGATTTCATTAGTAACAATATCAGTAACTGTGACATCTATTTAGAAACTTTTAATCTTTTAGAAATTCTATTGAAACGTAATACAGTGACAAAAAAATCTGGCTATAAATTTTGTGTTTATCAAAACATTAGAAGCATATATTAAAAAAAAAACCAGACTTTAGACACTTAGTTATATCTTATTAAATATTAAAAATAATAATTAACATTTAATAATAATTATTCGAAGTCATTTTTAGCTTTGATATAAGCTTTAAGATCGAGAACGTATAAGCCGCGCATTTTTCGCGGATAAATTCTCTTGTTGTAGACAATAATAGAGATCTTTAATTCATCAATCAATGAAAATCGCTTTCTTAGTCTTTTTGATACTTAAACTATAAGATATAACACTCCGGAGTTTATTTTTTAAAAATACATTACTATACAGATGGCAAGCTGACGTTATTTATCAACATTATAACATCAAAATGATTTTAATGTCATTTTAAGTAAAAAATATCGATGACATATAGAGTCAGCCAACTATCTGGGTAATGATTTAATAAACATAAAACTTTGTAGCCAAACTTTTTTGTATAGACAGTCACAAATACAAAAAAAAACCTCAGAATGCAAATAGAACACCGTATAGTAGTATCGACGTGTTACTGTTACGTAAGCGCCGCGGATTTATGTCGTGAATCAAAAGCATACTTGGTCAAAGAGAAAACGAAAGCTAAAAACAACAAAAAGGCTCTTTTCCTCTTTCATTGCACCCTCTCTTTAGACTCCTATGTGCACCGGACGGCTGTCGCGGCGCCCCGAAGAAATTAAACACTACCTCACCTGCCCTACAGCCCCACCTCTACCACCGGGCGGGAGGTGGTAAATCGGGAACGGCACTCTCGAAGAGGGTTTCCGAATAAGGTCAGGCTCGCAAGACCAAACGTGGGCGCGCGAAACCGACCGACCGTGGGTCGATACTGGTAACCGGTAATCGCGTAACGCGTAAATATCGTTATTTTTACGGTACCCCCTGTGCCGCGAGATCGTTTCGAGG